TAGTTTTTGATAACTGTAATGTCTGTTGATTTAAGTGGCTCTCCCCAGTGTTCCATATTTGAATACAGGAAGCAGTGAATCTACCAAGAATTTGCAAATGTAATTCCTAGGAACTATTTTTTTTTTAACTTCTCCAATAGGAAGTGGTCATATGTTCTGTGTGGTCTGTTTGAATTCTGATGAATTTTGTTTAGAATGACAGTCTCATAGATAAATGGGGAAAATTTGATCTCCATTCTGTAATTTAACATGTGCATGTAGTCTGCCAAGAAAATTCAGGCACATGCCATACAAAATACACAAACACAATCTAGCCCACGCAGGTGTCTTATATTTGAGAGAACATATTTGAAGAGATTTGAATTAAGAATATGTGTCATCTTAGAGAACCTAAGAAATAGAACTCTACAGGGGTTTGTCCTTAACCATCTGGTGTTTAAGTTAGCATTTTTCTTACTGGAGTAGACTACAAAGCTAGATTCTTGATTTTTTTGTTTAGTACAGAACATAGTGGAAAGAGTAACAGGCCCTTTGGGATTCAGAATTCAGATATAGGATGACTTTGTTTAGAAAAATATTAGAATAAGTGGATACAAATCTAATATCATGCCTTCAGAATGCAAAAATGAATGAAGCAGGATAATATAGGTCAGTAGCAGTGAACAAGAACTATAGATCCAAATTACCTGGCTTTGAATCTCAGCTCTACTGCTTTACTTTTACTATGGACTAGGTATGGTGCAACCTGCCTAAAAGAGTATTTCAGGTGATGTTTGAAAACACTATAAGCTGGGTGCAGTGGTTCATACCTGTAATCCTAGCAGCTCAGTAGGCAGAGGCAGGAGGATCTTGAATTTATAGCCAGCCTCTGCAAAATCGAGGCACTAAGCAACTCAATGAGACCCTGTCTCTAAATAAAATATTTAAAAAGGGCTGGGGATGTGGCTCAGTGGCTAAGTGTCCCTGAGTTTAATCCCAACTCCCCCACCCCCTCCACCCCCAAAGAAAACCCACTGTGGGATCAGTATTATTTTTTCCTTTTTTTTCCCCCCTGATAGAGAAAATTCGATTTCACCAAGTTAAGTAATTGGATCAAGGTCAGAGTGTGATGCAGCCATGCCTACAACCAAAGTCTCTGACTCCAAAGCTTAGGTTTTAACTCATTTATGGCCAGGGCCTTTAAAGATTTTATAATTCAGAAAGAAAATGAAAAAAAATAAGAGTAACATCCCAAATTTGAATCAGTGAGAAAGGAACACTACAAGGAGATCTGGAATAAATCATCACTGTCGAGCCTGGATAGAACAAGGTTGGCTTCGCTTGAACAGCTGTGTTCTTGGTCCAGTGGAGGGAGGAGGGGTAGATTCAATGCCACTTCAAAGTGCTTCAGTCTGTCATTTTAGTCTTGCATGAAGTTCTATTATACATTTTTTAACTTCTTTGAAATGTATACATTTATTTTTGTAATACATGTATTTTAATGCTTTTAATTTTTTTAGATGTTGATGGACCTTTTTTTTATTCATTTATTTATATGTGGTGCTGAGAATCAAACCTAGTGCCTCATGCATGCTAGGCAAGTGCTCTACCACTGAGCCATAACCCCAGCCCTTATACTTTTTTAGTATGTTATAATTATACATAATAATGAGATTCATTTTGACATACATGCATGGAATATAGTTTGCTCCATTTCAGTCCCCAGTATTTCCTTTTTTTCCCACTCCTTTTCTCTCTCCCTATTTCCCATCCTTTACTCTACTGGTCTTCCTTCTCCCTATTTATTTATTTTTTATTGGTGCTTTATCCTTATACATAAAGTTGAAATTCACTGTGGTATGTTCATATAGGAACGTAGCATAATTTGGTCAGTTTCATTCTGCAGTCCCTCCCTTTTCCCATTCCTTCCCCCTTACTCTATGCCCTTTCCCTTCTTAACTGTATCTTTTTTCACATTTAGGAAAATAACACCAATTTATGATTCTGGCGTTTACTACCTTTTTTTTTCCTTTTCTATATTTTTACCTCTATAAGCAGTTGTTCCACTTGTGAGTTTAACACACAGTCACATATCACGACATCACAGATTTTAAAAATAACCATGAAATTCATGTTCCTAGTGTTCACTCTGCACGTATTGTTCATAATGTTTGTTTCTGCTGATAAGACCCTAGTATATAGTGACTGTCATTGTCAACAGTCTTCACCATTGTCTTCCAGTATGTTTAAATAACATCAAGATTAAATGATTTCTGTATAGTGTTTTTTAGAAGTCAGGAAAGGATATTCTATATTTTAAAGTGTTTTCTTTTTAAAATTGACAAAATGAAATGAAAAAAAAAACGTTTTGGTACTTAAAGTCACATTTCTATAACTGTCAGGAAAATTTACCTGATTTAAGTTTATACTTGTTATTAGCGAGAATTCTTGGAAGGAACTTGTATAATAAAAATCAAATTATATTTGTTGAAAACTAAATATAATTGGGTAGTAGAGCCAAGTCAGGTTTCTTGGAGGCCATTTTGAAATTGGAATGCAAAATAGTATGAAAATACATTTTCATGCAGTCTTCTTAGTAGTTAGCTGGAAGTTATCTCTGTATTTCCTTTTGGGATCCTGTTTTCATTGCTATATTCCTTCCCATATATTTTCTCTGAGATCCTTTAAACTGCTTACTACTTTCTAGCATATTGAGTGCTGCTTTACAGCTAGTGGTTATGGCCTAATAGAAAAATACAAACAAACAAAAAACCAAAAACCAAGTCATCTGGAGAGTGGGGACACTACAGATGGAAAACACTCATGGGTATGATGATTAATCTTAATAGTATTTATAATCTCTGTGCTGATAACCAAAGTCTTAATTGCACTGTTACGTTCTAAGTAGCTTAAATGTCACCAATAGGAAAGCCCTTAAATAAGGTCAAACATTCTAATGCTAATTATATGTTATTTTATTCCTTAGAATTAGGTTATAAGGACAGAGGAATCAGAATAGTTTTATCAGAGTTTTTGACAGAAATCCTAATAATTTTCATCTGAAAAATTCTGCAGATGTCTGGAAAAATGGCAAAACAACACAAAAACCTGAATTTCTAGCTATGAAAATCAGGCCAAAAGTTCAGTCTTTGATTTGGTAGATTCATATCATAGAATTTCTTTGTCACTCTCTTTACTTTTGTCTAGACTAATAGGATAATGAAACCGTAAAAAAAGAAATGTGAGCAGCAGTAAGACCCAGTAGAGGAATGAAACAGGCCACATGCCAGTTCATAAACCGTCTTGCTTTTAGCAAGGAGGTTGAGGTTAGACTACTGTAAAATAGGAGTAGTACCTGAACTATTTCCTAATCAGCAACCTTAAGATTGAAAGAACTTTGTTGTTCTGTCAATTATTCAGGCCAAAGAGAAGACCTGAATGCATAAGGAAAATAACTGAATTATTATGTTTTTAGTTAGCACTATCAGAATTTTTAAGATTCTAACACTTATACTTCTTGCTTGTATAATACTAACATATTTCCTCTTTTGCTCAGATTTTCTTGGAATGCTTAATGATATATTCTTCCTCCTGTTTTTGGCTGATTAGCTTAAATTTTTAGCTTAAATGGGGTTTCCAAGGATCCAATGTAGTTTTCTTTGCCTTCACCCTTAGAATTGATGCCTGAGAGGAGCAAGGCGCATCTGGCACCCTTGATCCTACCCATTGCTGCTTTCGGGTGCTTTTCTCCCCACGAACTGTCTCTAGCTCAGACAGCAATTCTCCACCAGCCCTAGGATCAGTACAGGTATAACAGGATCTCTCAGTAGATTTTTCTCTAGCTCTGTGCTGTGTGAAGCAGATTGGGTACTCTCCACACTCTTTGGGGACTCAGAGGTGGAAATGGCTGGCCTTTTTAGTCATTTGATATGTGTTCAAAATTCAAAGGCCAGAAAGAGTGAAGTACTGCTGATTGCCACCAGTTAATGACTACTGTTTTCCAGTTGTAGGGTTGTATGTTGTTGGTTGTTGTTATTACTGTTTTTTTGTGTGTGCGCACGCGCTTTATCTTACTAGTGACTGAATCCATAGCCTCACACGTGCTAGGCAAGTGCTCTACCAACCGAGCATCACCAGCTCTGACATTCCTTCCAGAGTGCCCCAGAGACCCCACACTAATGCTTCCTCAGCTAAACTCCCATCACTACTCTGCTTTCCATGGACTAGCATTTATATGTTCCCACCAGGATAATGGTATCACCATCTAAGGACTCATTCAAAGGAGTGAGTCCTTCCTCTGCCCTCTACCTTTCCCTAGTCCCATATTTGTCAAGACTTGTTGATTTGGTCACCAGCATGTCAAATTGGTCCTATCTTCTCTATCTCCAGTGTTACTTAAGGCTTGCATAGTCTCCTCTAGACTGTTTCATGGACCCTGTGACTCATCTTCCATTCTCTTGCAGTGTTGCTGTGTTTTCCTCTTGGGGTTTTAGGTCTCATGTCTTTGCTGTTGGACATTCCCTGAACTTTTCCAGTGAGCTCAGCCTTAGCATTCCTCCTCTCCAGCATGTTTTATGTAGTACTTAATCGGGCAGTGACTCTCATTTTTGTGTCTGCCTATCTTTCTAACTAAGAAGTCCTCAAGAGAGGTGCTTCATTTTGTACATGTTAAAATTCCTAGCACACAGTAAGTACCCAGCTTATTTCTTAAATTAAAATGATAAATACAAATGTGGATTCTTCTGTGTTGTGAAGTACAAAATTAGTGGTGTAAATTGATAAAATAGGAATTGAAAAGGCTTTCTTATAATTTTTAAAAGGGCATTATACATATAACATTTGTGTGACTATAAGTTCAAGGTTTTCTGACTCATTTACTTTAAGAAATTCAAGAGCTGAAGGTGTATCTCACTGGTAAAGTGCTTGCTTAGCATGTGTGGGGCCTTGGGTTCAATCCCAGCAACACCATAAATAAATAAAATTACATAAAACAAAGTAAAATAGAAAACCACAAGCAAAGATAATTTTCTATTTAGTTTTAGGATTCTTTATTATAGTCAATGCAGCAACTCTATGCCTGATTCAAAATAGGCATTTTCTTAGTCTGTATAGTTAGCTATAACAACATACCATAAACCAGGAAGCTTATAAACAGCAGAAATATATTGCTTATAGTTTTAGAGGCAGGAAAGTTCAAGATGAAGGCACTGGCACATTTGGTGTCTGGTAAATACCCATTCCTGGTTCACAGACTGCCACCTTCTCTTTGTGTCCTCACAGTGTTCAAGTGACCAACTAGTTCTCTGGAGCCTTTGTAAGGGCACTGTGCCCACTTAAGAAGGCTCTTTCCTCATGATCTAATTGTTCCCAAAGGCCAATCTGAATGCAATCCTCTTGTGGATTCGGAGTCCAACATATGAATTCAGTGGTAAAGGATGCATGAACATGATATGACCAGAGCAGTAGAGTAGCTAGGAGATGTGGTCGAGCAGAATGATTCTCAGATGCTCAGTCTCACATTTTGGTGACTGAAGTTCAGCTGGGCTCCTGGAGTACAAATGATCCAGAACTTACATTTTAATCCTAAATAAATGAAAGGATTCACATTAAAACAGACAAAAAGAAACCCTGAAGTAAATTAGAATAATTTGACTTAAGTTACATAGTTTATATCATAGTATAGGTGAATGAAAATGTAGCATTACATTTAGCACCTAAGATTTTGCCAGAACTCATGTTAGATATATACAGTATAAGTATGTACTTGAAATTATTAGTGGATTTTTTATTATGGTAGCACACTTACTCTTACTGGTTGGATTTTCCTGGTTTTAATAACTCTTTATAAATGAAAGGCACAAACATAAAAGCAAGAACAAAGAGCCATTTTTAGATCTAATTTGAGATCATTGTCTTCAGTAGGATGGAGTGAAAGAAGAGTGAGCAGTCAGGCACCCCACTCCATACCAGCATGTCAGAATCTCTGGGGGTCCTTTTCAGATGCTCATTCTCCTTTTCCCCAGTAGGAAGCAGCAGGTGTCATGTGGGCTTTTACTTGATGGGACTGTGCTATTTCTGAAGGATATGGAGGCATCAAAGTATGTACCATTGAAGGACAGTTATTTGAGCTGATTTCTGTTTCAGGTTCAAAAATACCAAAAATAAAATGACTTTCTATTTTTAAATATCAAAAATGAAGCACTTATTAGAAATAATTTTGGTGCCAAAGATTCTATTTTTTTCTGTTAATTGTTGGTGACCAATGAGTAAAAAAAAAATCAAGACCAGCTATAGGTATGATTTTGTTAATGACAAAATATATATATATATATATATATATATGTGTGTATATATATATATATATATATATATATATATATATATATATATATATATATATATATATATATATATATATATACATACACATACACACACACAGAGTAAATATGCACGAGAGAGATATCCACTGCCTTACTTAGGAATACTCAGTTGACTCTACAACTCACAGTCAAATGATGGCCTGCTTCAAATAATGTCATTTAACAGGAAAGTGAGAAATGCCCAAACTGGAGTGTGATAGACCATCCCATTCCACTTAAAAATGCTGGGCTATGTGGCTACAGACTCACAAGAACTATATTTTCATATATAGCTAATAAGTAATTGCTGCCAGTGGAATGCTCAACATTTAAAGCAACTATAATTGTCTATACAGACATTAAAGTGATCATAAATCAAAATTTAATTTTTTTCAATAGAACACAACTACTTTGATACTGGAATACTTTACTGTGTTGTGGACTATATAGATTGTTGTTGACATGTGTGCAAATAGCTGGTAATCTGTCTAGCAAAATGACAATTCTTAATAGTCTATAAAAGCCTGGAGGTTAAAGATAATACATCTTAGAATATACTTTAAATTGATTTTACTTTTGGACTGTTATCCTTGAGTGCTATTGTCCCCTCCTAATAGATTGACCATGTGTTCCTACACTATAAACACTGAAATAGGGGAATTTGATACATATCTAGCTCCATAATGAATATCAATAAGTAAAATTGTATCAGGCTTACCTTGTTTCTCATGATTGTAAAAAAATCATATATTGTTACCCTCTTGAACAAATGAGGTAAATGCCTGTTATTAATAAGGCAAATAGAAGCCATAATCTTATTCCCTGAAGCCACTGTGTTAAAGAATTTTCTGTCATATGAAAGAATATATAACAAATCACATCTTTATTGAAAGAAAAATTTTAAAATTTTGTGACATAGTATTGTTATAATATAAAAATCTAATCAAATATTATAGATATTCTTATTAAAATATCATTGCTTCCTTTATTCATTCCTTTAATGTTGAAACATAAAAGAAATAACAGTTGCTGGTTAAAATTATGTGGCAGAGTTTCTAAATTCTTCCTTGGGATGTCCTTGAAGATATTTTAGTATTTAACATACACATCATTTTTATTAACCAGATTTACAGAGAAGTAATTTAAGGTGATTAAGCACTGTAACTCTGACAGGTGAATGTTATCTAGTGACAGATGTAGCATTTGAATGACAGGTAGATAGTTTGAATGTTTTTTTTTTTTCCTTCCTGTGTAGACCCTTCTTTGCTTCTTTTCAAGCCATTTGAAGTCAGATGTCTCCCCATCTAAGTCCTCCCTATGTAGGGACGATAAGACTGATTTCATTTTCAGTTATAATTTGTGGATTTGCTATCATAAAACCGAGTCACTTTCAGCACAGTTATTTCTTATCTAACTTGTAGCACAGGGATTGACTTATTGAGTTAAATATTATTTCCTAAACTTGAGTGTTTTGTTTCTGACATTGGGAATTAGCTGCAATGTATTGAGAAGGGAGAGCAATGATAATTCATGATGTGAATTGGGAAAAGTAAAGCTCTGTCCCCAAATGCCCCAAGATCCATTTAAGAAGCACTTGCAGATCTATAAATGCCTTTGTTTTTAGTCATCTTTTGTTGTGTTTCCATTGTTTTGACTCTGCCAGCTTCCACCGAGAGAGCTGTTGCAGGTCCACCATGTACTACATGGATTTCTTCTTTTGGGGAAATACATTATTACAAATTGTCCAGTTCTCCTGTTTCCGTCTTCAGCTCTATTGAGATCATAGTGTTTCCAATGTGTTTTTTCTTCAGTGTGGATAGAGGGGCAGGAACAACACATGCCCTTCTCAATTGTCTTACTGTTCTTATTTTTGACATTTTTCCACAATTTAGTGTTTGTCCTAAAAGAAAAGGACTATAGAATACCAGGAAAAACCCTCCACTTATTCTATGAGTCAGATTGTTCTTCTTATTTTATGTCTAATATTCCACAAGTAATGCCCAACATTTTATATACCTATAACTAAGGCAAAAAGAATTCCTATTAAGAAATTTTGAGGAGTGCTAATTATTTCCTTTTTCCTCTCTCTGTGAACAAGCACCTCAGTGGTTCTTTAACTTCAGGTTTTGAAATAAAATAAAAATGACTTACTTAAACTGACTTGACCCCCCAATGTGAAAGATGAAATTTATGCAGTTTATTTTCAAAATATTTAGGAAACTTATTTGGGTAATCAGAAAAGTAGAACTAATTATACTTCTAATACTCTTATATCACAAGGCAATATATAGAAGATAATAAAAATGATAATTTCATTATTACAGTTTTTTTCTATTTTTTTATTTCAATAAATGGTTTCACATTTAACATACTTTTTAAACTGGGCCTGTTTCAATTCTACAAGTGTGCCATAACAGTGATGCCCTGTTATTTACTGGACAATCCCATTTTTTACAATTGTATGCAATTACAGAAAGCACATATATCTCTATATATTTGAGTAAGGTTTTCTCTTCAGGGTAAGTTCAGAGAACTGGCTGGTATTATTGAAGGATATGATTTATTCACCTATTACATGTAAAAAACATTGCTGGACTGACATCCAAGAGCATTGACTCAATTTATACTACCACTGAGATTTCCTGTAAGTGCCCATTTCTCTCACCACATGCTAACATTGAGTGTTGTTCATTACTTTGATGTTTTTGGAAAAGATGGTAGGTAAAATTTCAGTTTTCTCCTTTGAGGTATTTTGCATCTTTTTATATGTTTAATGGCTGCATGTATTTGTCTTAATAATTTTTCTATTGGATATTAGTCTTTATTTTCTCATTTCCTAACTCCATTAATGTAATGCTCATTCATTCTTAACAATTCTGAAGTCATCCTTATCAAAAAGCACCTTGAATGAGTTTTTCACTCATCCTCTTGTTGTTTGTTTTTTATTTTCTGGGTTTTTTGTTGTTGTTGTTGTTTTTGTTTTTGTGGGGGGAAGTATCGGCTATTGAACCCAGTGATGCTTAATCACTGAGCCACATCCCCATCCCTTTTTATTTCCTGTTTTTTGTTTGTTTGTTTGTTTGTTTGTTTGTTTTTTACTTTGAGATAGGGTCTTGCTAAGTTGCTTAGGGCCTCACTAAATTGCTGAGACTGGCTTTGAACTTGCAATCCTCCTGCCTTAGCCTCTGGAGTTGCTAGAATTATACAAATGCACTACTGCCCCTGGCTCTTCTAAATGCTTCGATATCACACACACAGGGGTAGGTTCTTACCTCACTGGCCAGCTCCTTCTTACTGAGGAGTTGAGTCAGGACTTATCTGGAAATGACTAGAGGAAGCATTTTTTGTTAGATCGAAAACTGTCCTGTATGTCCTAGATTGTTTTTGTCCTTCTCGTTTTGGTTAAGACTATGTGCTGCTAACTTTGTCTCCTTGGACTAATCCCAAATAGTTTTAAGTGTTTGCTTAGATATTGTTTAATGCTTGATTAAATAATGAGTCAATGTTTTTTTAAAAAAAAACTTACAAGTGAAAGACTATTTTTCTGTTCTAGAAAATTCTACAAAGTAGTTGGTTTTCACAGGTTTAATAGTGTTTGGGGGTGATGCTTAGTACCCATGCTGACATGCAGGCAAATATCAAGTCCACCTTAGCAAAAAACTTGTTCAAAAACTGTGAGTACCATTATCTTCCAAGAGTCCTAAGGTACACTGTTGAGGGAATCCATAGATACTACCATTTCTATCTACAAGTACTGTTGTCCAAATATTAAGTACTCTTCTAATCTATATCACTGTCACTCCACCCTTTTCTAAAGGCATTTAAGATAAACAGTCTTCCATATGCCCTGCCCTCCTCTGCAGCCCTGGTGAATACTTCTCCTTATGCCTAGCATAGAATGTAAACTCAAGATACCTGCTTTTTAAATAGGGAGTAATATAGCCCCACCTCTGCCTACCCTGGTCTTGACTGTTTATTCTATGAGTGCTCCAAAGAGATTAGACTAAGAGTCAGAGACTGAGGTCAGTTGACAGTAGTGCTAGAACCGTATGACTAGGAAATAGTAAGAAGCAGAGTTTGGCTGCAGCCATGCCAGCCATGGTTGGCAGGTAAGGTTGGGTGGCAAATACTGAGAAAAGAGAGATTAAGGGAAAATATATAACAAGGACCAAAAAAGGAAAACGAGGGGGTGAGGGAGGGTAGCAGGGAGGGGAAGAGAGA